TTGTCTGTGTCTATTGGTTGTGCATATATACATATAAGTTCTTTGGCTTATCTCTTCTTGCCTCCCTCCCCCTTCCCTCTGAGGTTTGTCAGTTTGTTCCCTACTTCCACATCTCTGGATCTCTTATGTTCATCCCTACTGGTGGAATGCAGACTTCTGTAGCCACTATGGAAAATAATATGGTGTTTCCTCAAAGAATTAAAAATGGAACTGCTTTTGACCCAGTGATCCCACTTCTAGGAATATACCCTAAGAAGCATGAAACACCAATCAGAAAGAATATGTATACCCCTATGTTCATAGCAGCACTATTTACAATAGCTAAGATCTGGAAACAGCCCAAGTGTCCATCAGTAGATGAATGGATAAAAAAGTTGTGGTACTCGGTTGCAGTTTGTCCTCGGCCCTGGTTGGGTCGTGTGGGTGGCAACCACTCAATGTGTCCCTTTCACGTGGATGTTTCTCTCTCTCTCTCCTTCCCACTCTTATCTGAACAAAAAAAAATGGAAAAATGTCCTTGGGTGAGGATAAAAAAAAAAGCTGTAGTACATGTACACAATGGAATACTATGCAGCTGCGTGAAAGAAAGATCTCTTATCTTTCATGGAGGGGACAACATGGAGGGGGCTGGAGAGTATTATGCTCAGCGAAATAAGCCAGTTAGAGAAAGACAAATATCACATGATATTACTTATATGTGGAATCTATTGAACAAATTAAACTGATGATCAATTCATTTTTATAAGGGCCAGTATTACCTTGATACCCAAACAAGACAAAGACAGTAAAAACAAAAAAACAATAAAACTACATACCATTATTTCATGAACTTAGATGAAAAAATTCCTCAACCAAATATTAGCAAATCCAACAATAAATTGAAAAAATATATTAAAAATGCCTAGCTGGGCCCAGGCAAGTTTGGTTCAGTGGTTAGAGCATTGGCCTGTGGACCAAGGGGTCTCAGGTTTGATCTCCAATCAAGGGCACATACCTGGGTTGCAGGTTCAATCCATGGTCGCAGTTGGGGTCGTGCAGGAGGCAGCCAATTGATGTATCTCTCCCTCCCTCCCACACTCTCTAAAAATCAATGGAAAAATATTCTCGAATGAGGATTAACAACAACAACAAAAAAATGCCTAGCTGGGCTTTATTCCAGATATGCAAAACTGGTTCAATATTGAAAATCAGTGTAATCCACCATATTAACAGGCTAAAGAAGAGATAGAAGAAATAGCACATGATCATATTGTGTGTTTTTTTTTAATAATTCACTTATTTTACTTTTTTATTATTTTTTTAATTTTTAATCCTCACCCAAGGACGTTCCTCCATTGATTTTTAGATAGAGTGAGAGTAAGGGGGTGGGGGGGGGAGGAACATTAATGTGAGAGAGACATATCACTATTCAACAAAGGACTAGTATTTTTTTTTTTAAATCCTCACCCAAGGACATATTTTTATTGATTTTTAGAGAGAGAGAGACACATCAATTGGCTGTCTTTCATGTGGGCCCCGACCGAGGATGAAACCTGCAACCTAGTTCTGTGCCCTGATGGGAATGAATCCACAACCTTTTGGTATACGGGACAGTGCTACAACCAACCTAGTCACCTGGACATGGCAAGGACTAGTATCTTGAATATACTATATAAAGAACTCTCAAAACCCAACAGTAAACAAAAATCCAATTAGAAGGGGCAAAAGACACGACCAAACATTTGACAAAAGAGGGTATACAGATGACAAAAAAGTACATGAAGAGATATAAGCATCATTAGCAATTAGGAAAATGTAAATTAAAACCACAATGACTTCCTTTCCAACCTGGGCCTGGCAGAATGGCTCCCACAAAGAAGAATGGCAAGAAGAACAGGGTTGGTCTGCCATCAATGAGGTAGTGACCAGAGAATATACCACCAACATTTACAAGTGCACCCATGAAGTGGGATTCAGGCGTGCCCCTTGGGCACTCATAGAGATTTGCCATGAAAGAGATGGGAACTCCAGATGTGCACATTGACACCAGGCTCTACAAAGCTGTCTGGGCCAAAGGAATAAGGAATGTTCCATACCATATTCAGGTGTGGTTGTCCAGAAAACCTAATGAGGTATGAAGAAGATTCACTAAACAAGCTCTATACCTTAATTACCTGTCACCACTTTTAAAATTCTACAAACGTGCCCCAGTGTGGGGCTCAGTTCGTTGGAGTATCATCCCATACACCAAAAGGTTGCAGGTTCGCACTGGCCGGTTTGGTTCAGTGGTTAAAGCGTCGGCCTGCGGTCCGGAGAGACCTGGGTTCGGTTCCCGCTAAGGGCATGTACCTCGGTTGCAGTTTGTCCCCGGCCCTGGTTGGTCGTGCGGGTGGCAGCCACTCGATGTGTCCCTTTCACATCGATGTTTCTCTCTCTCTCTCTCCCTCCTGTTCTATCTGAACAAAGAATGAAAAAGTGTCCTCGGGTGAGGATTAAAAAAAAAAAAAAAAAGGTTGCAGGTTCACTTCTGGTCAAGGCACATACTGGGGTTGTGGGTTCAGTTGATGTTTCTCACATCGATGTCTGTCTGTCTCCCCCCCCCTTCCTATTCCTCTCCCCCCTCCTTGTTCCCTTCCTCTCTTCCTAAAATCAATAAACATATCCTCAGATGAAGATTTTTTAAAAATCCACAAACATTTAATGTGAATGAGAACTAACTGTTAATTGTCAATAAAGTTATCAAACTGCCAAAAAAAGGAGATACCACTGTATACCTATCAGAATGCATAAAGTTAAAAATACTGAGAACAAAAAGTACTGGTAAGAATACAAACATGCTAGCTTTGGCCAGTGTGGTTCAGTTGATTGGAGTATCATCCCATGCACCAAAAGGTTGAGGCTTCAGTTCTCTCTCAGGGCACATACCTGGGTTACATGTTCGATCTCCAGTCAGAGAAGTGTATGGGAGGCAACTGATTTATCTCTCTCGCTCGCTCGCTCTCTCCCTCCCCCCTCTTCCTCTCTTCCTCTCTCTAAAATCAATAAAAACATATCCTTGGGTGAGGAATTTTTTTTTTAATGCACACAGACTAGATTGTTCATACTAGAGGAGTATAAAATAGCACAACCACTCTGAAAAATAGTTTAAAAGTTTCTTATTAAACAACATGCAGCTGCTGAACTCAGTAACTGTACTTTTGGGCATTTAACCCAAAGAAATGAAAACTTAGATTCACACAAAAACCTAGACACAAACTTTCATAACAGCTTTATTCTGTAAACTGGAAGCATTCCAGATGTTCTTAACAGATAAATGGTTAAACAAACTGGTACCTCTGTACCATGAAATACTGCTCAGCAAAACAGAGGGGATGAACTATTGATATAAGCAACAACTTGGATGACTAGCAAGGGAATTATGTTGAGTCAGAAAAGTCAGTTTCTAAAATTGTGTACTATATATGATACTGCTTATATAGCATTCTTGAAATGACAACATTATAGGAATAGAGAAGAGATTAGTGTTTGCCAGAGGTCAGAGATGGGATTAGGAGGGCCACAGGAGATTGGCGTGGCTTTAAAAGGGCACGAAGGATCCTTGTGGCCATGGAAATATTCATTATCTTTGTGTCAATATCAGTAGCCTGGCTGTGATATTATATTACAGTTTAACAAAATGTTACAATCGGAGAAACAGAGCACACAGAACCTCTGGTTATGTTTTACAGTGCATGTGAAGCTGCAATTATTTTAAAATTAAAAGTTTTTTCTTTTCTTAAGAAAGCATAGTGATACCTGCTCTTTCTGTGGCAGGGAGTGGTTGGAAGTCTGAAAGGCAGTGTAACCTGGGACAAGCTATGTCATAGTGGGTGCACATGATAGCAATAAGCCATACCTACCCATGTTTATTTTGATGTATTTATTCAACATTTCTATTCTGCCTTATCAAAATAATATGTACAATAGTTTTTGTGTATTGTGTAAAGTTCATTTATTTATTTATTCACCAATTTTTTTTTTTTTTTTTTATCTTCACCCGAGGATATTTTTCCATTTTTTGTACAGCTAGAATGGGAGGGAGAGAGAGGAAGGGGGAGAGAGTGAGAAACATCGACGTGAAGGGACACATCGAGTGGCTGCCATCCACACGACCAACCAGGCCCGGGGACAAACTGCAACCGAAGTACGTGCCCTTAGCGGGAACCGAACCCGGGTCTCTCCGGACCGCAGGCCGACGCTCTAACCGCTGAGCCGAACTGACCAGGGCTCACCAAATATTTTTTGTTGGCTTTCTTAGTGCTGATCATACTGGGGATAAAAAAGATGGGAAAAGAAGTGTGATGGACAGTTGATTATAGGGTGGATCTGGAGTTGATATTTGTTTTTAAAGCTTTGGTTTTGCTGTGACATAATATTCTGTATTTTAAGTTTCAAAGGCAAAGGTTCTATTGTTCAATTAGCTGGCAAACTTAGTTTTCAATAATTAAGACCCTCTCTTCCCATTTGGAATCCATCATACAGTCAATGTTGATTCTTAATTTAATTGGTATCATTTTTTTCTTGATAATACGTAAAATAATGGCTCATCTTACACTTAATGGCATTTTGGGCTTAATGAGATCTGGTTAGTGTCTAAAAGCAACTATTTTTGCAGTTTTTTTCTTATCTGATTTGAGAGAGAAAGAAACATCGATTTGTTGTTCCACTTATTTATGCATTCATTGGTTGAATCTTGTATGTGCCCTGACGAGGATCGAACTCTAACCAACTGAGCTACCCAGCCAGGTTTTGTAGTTTTCATCTGAATATTTTACCTATTCTAATTTTATTAATATTTTTATTTTATGTAATATATTTTAAGTAAACATTGTTGGAGAAAGGTATTTTTTTCCTATAGCGGAACCTTTAATGATTTGAGAGTCTGGTGATAAATTCTGTGTCATTCCATAGTAATACTGTGTTACTTACATATATGTTGAAACTTCATTTCCCTTATCATTTTTTTTGTTTTGTTTTTCAAGTGTCAATATACAGTATCTGGTTTTATGACAAGAATGACTGTCACCGCATAGCCAAACTCATGGCTGAGTAAGTATATTACTCCATAGATTTACTTATTAATGACCTATGAGAGATGAAAAATTACTTTTCTCCCTATTTTGTCTTTGTTACTGGAGTGTACTAACTCGTGTATTTCTCTCCTAATTTCCTGTTTATTGTCAAAAATTTTGAAAGGGCAGAAAAGCCTAAAGAAATCTATAATCATTTAGAATCCTACTACTATACTCAGTGTGTGCATGTTAGTCTGTTTCCTTGGAGTCTTTTTCTTTATGTATACATGAAGTTGATGTAGTTTATTGTTTCTTACAAAGATAGGATCATACTGTATATACATTCTACTTTTCATGTCAACAGCATTTGCCAACAGTATTAAATAGCACTGTATAGTGTTCTCACTGCATTGTAAATCCAGTCTTCCTTGTAGATTGTAATTTAACCAGACCTTTCTGTTAAACATCTGGTTAGTACCGTCAAACTGCTTAGCTTCAGAGGACATCACCTACGTGCAGTGCACAGCCTAGCCGCATATATGATTTTGGTTCTGTCCAGATTTTCACTATAGCAAGTAGTGTTGTGTTCAGTAGCCAATAGAGAACTCCTGCACACATCCATGTTTACCTTTTTAAGAGAACTTATTTTTGACACAGAGTTTAGGTTATTAAGTAGCCAATCCATTAATGGATTATGTTCCAAGAGATTTTTTTGTCAGTATCTGGAATTTGAAAATGAATTTTCAGTGAATTAATGTTCTAAAGGGTGGTTCATTGTCATTTCTCAAAGTAGCCGGCAGAAGCCACCCCTCATGGCTTATCCATGTTGCTGGTACTGCCAGACTGGACTTTAGGTGCCCAAGAAGAGCTCTGGGCAAAATGCTACAGTGGGTGCACTTATTCTGGTGTACTTGTGTTTCCTTTTCAGTTTTTGCCTGAGTCTTCTCAGGAATATTGACCTCTTTTCCCCTCTATCAAGTCAAGAATCCCTTTGCTCTCCTGCAAGGTTTTTATCTACATGTTTGGAAGAAAGCAGTCTTATTTAAAAGGATCTTATTTTAAAACTAATACTTACAAAAATATAAAAAAATAATTAACCCCAAAAGCCTCAGTTTCAGGTATGTTTGCATTTTAAAAGAAGCACTCATGGCTAAGATTCTAATCCAGGACTGCTGACATGTCCTGACTGGATGTTAATCAGCCTCCAGCTTTGCCTGCTCGTGGGGCAGACCATGTTTATTGCTGTGTGCCGCCTGAGACTTGTTCCCTGTCAACCTGTCACTTGTACTTGAAAATGTGTTGGCTGTCTAGAACCACACTTTCTTTTTTTTTCCCCCAATTTTCATTTATTTATTTTTGTTACAGATGTTTCTCCTTTTTCCCCCCTAGACACCCTCCTCCCCATCCTGCCCCATCCCCCACCCCCTAGCATTGTTGTCTATGTCCATTGGTTATACATACCTGCATATAAATTCTTTAGTTCATCTTATTCATTCCCCCCCGCCCTTGTACTCTGAGGTTTGTCGGTCTGAACCGTACTCCTTTCTATCTCTCTGGGTTTGTTTTGCTCATCAGCCCACCTTGTTCATTATATTCCACGAATAAATGAGATCATGTGGTATTTGTCTTTCTCTGATTGGCTTATTTCACTTAGCATGATACTCTTGAGGTCCCTCCATGTTGTCTCAAAGGATAAGAGATCTTTCTTACAGCTGCATAGTATTCCATTGTATATATGTACCACAGCTTTTTTATCCATTCATCTACTGATGGACACTTGGGTTGTTTCCAAATCTTAGCTATTGTAAATAGTGCTGCTATGAACATAGGGGTACATATATTCTTTCTGATTGGTGTTTCAGGCTTCTTGGGATATATTCCTAGAAGTGGGATCACTGGGTCAAATGGCATTTCAGTTTTTAATTTTTTGAGGAAACATCATACTGTTTTCCACAGTAGCTGTACCAGTCTGCATTCCCACCAGCAGTATACTAGAGTCCCCTTTTCTCCACACCCTCTCCAACACTTGTTGTTTGATGATTTGTTGATGGTGGCCATTCTGACAGGTGTGAGGTGATACCTCATTGTTGTTTTAATTTGCATCTCTCTGATGATTAGTGACGTTAAGCATTTCTTCATATGTCTCTTAGCCATTTGTATGTCCTGTTTGGAGAGGTGTCTCTTTAGTTCCTTTGCCCATTTTTTAATTGGGTTCTTTGTCTTCCCTTTGTTGAGTTGTATGAGTGCTCTATATATTTTGGAATATATTAATACAGTTGACCCTTGAACAGCACAGAGTTGAACTCCATAGGTCCACTTATACGTGGATCTTTTTTAATAAATACAGTACTGTAAATGTATTTATTTTCCTTATGAGTTTTTTAAATAATTTTTTTTTATATATGAACTATGTTATCGGTAAGGCTTCCAGTTGACAGTAGGCTATTAGTAGTTAGGTTGGAGGTGGGGATCAAAGATATATGCAGGGTTCAACTGAGTGGGGAATCGATGCCCCCTTACCCTCAGTTGTTCAAGGGTCAGCTGTATATGCATTTCTCTTGATTGAGAGCTTTTGGGACCCAAGTGAGAGAATCTGGCTTCTTTTTAGCTCTAACAGCTATTCACAGGAAAACATTTTAAGCTTTATTTCTCTATCAGGGCAAGTAGTATCCCTAATGTAAAACTTCAGATGGTAAATGAAACTGAAGACAAAGGTCTATGTGAAAATAATTTTTTTGAACCCAAAAATAAAATGAGGAAGTAGAAACAGGAAGCAGAGAGAGAAAAGAGCAGCCAGGGTTTTTTCACTAGAATGCCCAAGAAAAGAACCATTTGCTTAATTTCAGCTGTTTTACTTGAAGCAGAGAGGTATTGAAAGTGATTAGAGAGTACCCTCATGAAGCTGTTGATAGTGAGTTTTCTAGTGTCCGGCCTGTTTGTGGCTGAAGAGAATACCTTATATGTTAACATTAACATTATATGATAAATGGCATTCAGGACAGCAGAGATAAAAACGACTACTTTATCTTTCTTTGCTCAAACTTTGCCTATATGCAGCCTTTACTTGCTACATATTTCAAGATATCATGTCTGCTAACCAGAAATACAGGTAAAATTCTTTTGGGCATATTATGTGTCCAAATAAATATGTCTATCGGAGCCCATTCTGTTAAATTTAGATCTTCCCATCACTGTTTTGACAGCTGCAATAAAATAAAACTTCTCCAAGTAAAAAATTTATTTATTCCAAAGGATGTTTATAAAAACTGAGAAGCTATTTAGGGAAAATAAGCAAATTTCTAGACCTATACCATATCTAAATTTGTAAATTCTTTTGGTCAGTGGCAAAGTTGAAAATCCACTAAATTTGAAAAATGTTGACCCTCCTAAGGAGTAAATCCAGTGTGCCAGCAACTGTTTAACAATAAAACTTACTTCAGTGTTTGCCTACATAGATTATAGAATTTGGAGAATTCATAGAAGTCAGCTTTATTCCTGATCTTACAGATAGTGTCGGTACATAGTTGAGGATTTAAGAGGAAAGGAAGCGGGGTCCCTCTTCACAGAGTTTGAATTGGAAGAGGTCTTAGAGTCCAGGCCTCACTCATGCAGGGGTCCCTTCCACACCACACGACAGCTCCTACTTTCAACAATGGTGAGCTTTGTAAAGTGGCCAGTTCCTAACAGGTGAACAGTGAGTGGTTAGAAATGTCTTCTGTTGAACCAAAAGCATAGATCCAGTCCAGGTCAGGGGAGAGGTGAACACAAGCAAGGGCAAACCAGGCAGCATGGTAGGAGGTAGGTAGAAACAGACTGACCAGAGTCCTTGATGAAGGTAGATTCAGGCTGGTGGTGGCCTGTAATTGGGTATTAAGTCTTTCTTTTTTTTTTTTTTTTTTTTTCTGAATAAAGAAGTGCCTGTTAATTATGGAAAATGAAGAAAAGTACAAAGAAAGTGAAATTGCTTTTAATCTACCATCAAGAAATAATTAATGTACATCTGTCCATTCTGTTTACCCTTTGCTACAGGCCTCACAGTTATGACAATACAGTATTTCTTTCCAAGAGATGATTACTGGTATGGATATAAAAGAAACAATATTCTGATTGGCCTGATCCTCATATCACATGCCAGTCTTCTTTCAGTCTACCATAAAGTTCATGGTTCTATCTTTGTTTTAGAAATAATAACACCACTAAGAGCTGTAAGAATCCAGATAGAGAAATGACATTGTTACCTTTTTTCCCCCTGAAATTGCTCAAGATTATTATTTTTTATTTTTTTATTAATTTATTTTTGTTACAGATGTTTATCCTTTTTCCCCCATTGACACCGTCTTCCTGATCCCCTTACACCCCACCCCGCTCCGAAGCCAGGATTGTTCTCTATGTCCATAACATCATTACCTTAAAGCAGCATTTTCCAAACAGGAATCCTGCCTCAGGAGATCTGTGGTCATATAAATTTGGGAAAATGTATAAGCCCACCCTTCTTAGAGAATCACAATACATTTTAGCATATTAAAAACTCAGAATAGTTCTGCTGTTTTAAAAAAAATCTGTTTAATATTGTTTATTTTATTTATTTCATTTTATTAATTTGTTTGTGTTACAGATGTTTCTCCTTTCCCCATTGACACCCTCCTGCCCATCCCCTCCATCCCGTCCTCAGCTTTGTTGTCCATGTCCATCAGTTATGCGTACATACATATAAGTTCTGTGGTTTATCTCTTCCCGTCTCACCCCACGCATTGTTCTGAAGGTTGTCAGTCTGTACCCTACTTCCACATCTCTGGGTCTACCCTGTTCCTCAGACTGTTAGGTTCATTATATTCCACAAATAAGTGAGATCATGTGATATTTGTCTTTCTCTGCTTGGCTTGTTTCCCTTAGGATAATGCTCTCCAGATTCCCTCCATGTTGTCTCAAAAGATAAGAGATCTTTCTTACAGCTGCATAGTACTCCATTGTCTATATGTACCACAGCTTTTTTATTCATTCGTCTACTGATGGACATTTGGGCTGTTTCCAGATCTT